CTGCTGAACTGGAATGCGTGTGCCAGAAGTAATAGTTACTGACAAGAAGAGAGATTTCCTGAAAGACCGCCAGTTGCTCCCTGCTGAGCTGGAGGCGAGTATGAAAACCGTAACTTGGGATTTTTTTAGAGCTAAGGTTGTTGAACCTTATAGTTTGCTCCACAGGAAAGGCCAAAGATGGGAGGTTGATTCAAAAATAGATAGAAACATATTAAACAATTTCGACTGCTTCATAGCTCTCATATATTAAAAAGATTTACGAACACAAACCATTCCTGGTTTCTAAAAAGAAAGCACAATTCATTTTATATAGAGGTGTTCTTTTTTTATTTTTTTAATGTTTCTATTGCAAAAGGCTATCAGATTTGATGCACTTTTAATATTGGGCTATTTTGCACAGAGGACTGTATGGGAATGCCCCATGATGGTGTGAGGAAAAGAGGCTTTTAGTGATTCATCAGTAATCAGTCATGGGTGATGAGTGTAAATCCAACAGCTTATTCTTTCCTCAGACACAAAGGTTGTGACCCGCAGTGGAATTTGTGGCTGTGCTCTTTGGGGCCTCCTGAATTTCAGAAGGAGGACGTGTTCAAGCTTACGTCCCTAAAATTCCCTTGGCGCGGGCCTAAGACATGACAACTCCATCACCAGGCTTCTCTTCTGGATCCTCATCAGTGTTAAGGCTTCTCTTTTCGTTTCTCTACTTAGATACTCAGTGCACTGTCTTCTGGTTGAGGAGAAGGGCGATTTTCCTAAGAAATTAGCTAAGTGGGAGGCCAGGGAGCCCGTTGGTTCATCAGTATAAATGTCTAGATGCAGAGGGTTTCAGAGCCCTCAGGACCGCTCTGTGCCCTCATAAAAGAGCAGCCTGGTCATCTCCACCTTCTCCATCTAACAGACTCATCCAGGTTTCAAACTGCGTCTGTCTCTGTTTGGAGTCTCAAATCTGCCCTGTGACGTAAGTAGGGATTATTGTTCCCCGTTTAACAGGAAATTTACTCTTGGAGAGGTCAGGTGACTCTAGGTCAATGGCTAGTAAGTAGCAGAACAGAGACCAAGCTCCAGATCGCCACCCGGCTGAGTCCAGTCCAGTGTGTGGCCATCCTTGGTGGGGCGAGTGTGGCTATGTCCTTGTCCTTGGGGTTGGTTGCTCCTTATTGTTTGAGTCAAAACTTCATCAAGTTTCTAATTGACATCTGGGTGCTCCAGCTCACATCCTAATATTTATCTCCATCCTATTGTGCCCCTATTATTTTCCAATAAAGACCAAAAAATATTTTTAGCCACAACAAGGCACAGGCCACATGGTCCCTGATGACATCCCTGCTGGTGTTCAGTTCTTTGAATCCTTGTGTAGCTTTCAGAGAACACATCCTAATCACCCACCTCTTCCTCAGCAGAACCCATTTGAGATTATAAATATGCTGCAGTTGCAGTTTGAGACAAAAAATAATGTTTCTAGCATGTAGAGCAGTCCTCCTGGCTAATTCTTTTATGACGTTAATGTGCCAATGTAACTTCCTTAAAGGATCTATGCATTTATTGTATCTAGGAAACTATATATACACTGTAGGTGCAGAATTCTCTTTTTTAACTAGATAGTTTTCCATCTCAAGTTTAAAGAATTGCTTGATTAATTAGGCCTTCATTTTAAAATACTGCTTTCATCACTGCACAGGATTACTTCCTTTATTTTATCCCCAAAGCTAGTTAGCAGAAGGTAAAGTTACTCTGCTACAAAAATAGGCAATCTGAAAAATAAACTTAGCTCTTCGAATTGGGGGCAGAAACTGAACCACTGCACTCAGATAGAAAACGTCTATAAAAGCAGGAGCCGGTGGTTCCTGTCCATTTCTGGTTTGGAATTTACCTTCGCCAGCCCAAGCATAGTCACGGGGGAGGGGGTGCAGTGTCTTGAGAACGCAGCCCTGGAGGAAGGTTCTGGGTCGGCTGCAGTGAGAGACTACTGTTAAGGGCAGGTCAGGGGCATCCCACCCCCATCCTTTCTGTAACACACAGCTGCTGGCCTCTGTGTTTGTCTTCCCTGTGCACCGATCTTGTGAGTTCTCACCTGTTCATTACCTGCTCCCCCACCCCTCGCGCCACCTATTAGGGCTGTTTCTTGCTTCTCCCCGTCAGTCTTCTGCCTTTACAGACCCAAGCAGCTGAAAAGGCATAACCCCCGGGGAGCCAGCTGAAACCAGATGGGCGTGCCCACCACTCTAGGGTAGCCCTGCAGACCCCGACCAAAGACCCCTTCTGGGCTGCCCAGGGTCTAGGTCCCAAGGGAAGAAACTGCCCCCTCTTCCCTTTTGACGAGGATTTGCAAGGCTCCTAGCATCAGCAGGAGACCAGCCCTCAGGGAACACCAGACTCCACAAACAGCCTGGGAATCCAGGAAGGGTGTGGGCAGCCTCTTTGGCTGACACCCTTCTTTCCTCCGGGCATTTCCCCTCCCTGAGCCCTAGGGCCCCTCCCTCTCCTTAAGGTGGGTGTGGACAGAATTGAGATGGACTGGGAGAGGGTCACTTCCTTGCCTCCTTCCCCAGGTGTGAAATGGGCTAGCGGGGTCAAGGTCTGGAGCAGGGCAGGAGAGAAGCAGAGAGCCTCCAGCTTGGGCTGGCGCTGCCCTGTGAGCTCGTGGCCCTCCCGTCCGCCCTGATGCTGAGTGGGCCCTTAGGGCTGGGGTTGGCCTCTCTCACACACCGCCCTTTCCTTCTCTGGTAAGCCCTGTTCCTCCCCTGGCGGGAAAAGATGGTTGTACAGGTATGTGACAGGCTCTCAGCAAATGCTTGTTGCTTGAATAAACAAAGAACTTGCCTGTTAGGGTGAAAATCTTCAGGAGGTTGTTCCCGAGTCCTGTGATTTAAATATTCCCAGGTCCCTCTAATGCCCTCTGAACATCATTTCTGTGTGAGTCTTCCTACCCTTGGGGCAGTTAGCAGATGTGCCCAGGGCCCCTGAGATGGGCCACAGCTCAGCAGCTTCGTCACCACGTGGCGCTCAGAGAAACTTCCAGAAATTTTTGAAAACGCTCTCTGGGCAGCTCTTGGGTGGCAGGAAGTCCATCATCCCCCACCCATCCCTGGACCCAATGTGCTGCCCCTGGCCCCTGCCCTTTCTATGTGGATTCACCCAGAGCATCCGGGCACCCCACCAGCTGTGAGCCCTTACTTTCTGCAGCTGGTCACATGAGCCCTTCAAGTGCGAAGATGCTCGCAGGGCCTTCTGGAAGCATACGGAAGGGGCCCCTCCAGCACTGGGTCAGTCTCCCCCACTGTGTCTGTCACGGGGGTGGTAGAATAGGAGGGTCTTTGCACGGGCCCATCCTACAAGGCAAGACACAGGTGGGACGCAGATTTCGTTACCTGGCTCGTGTAGGG